CCACCCATTCCCAGCAGGTGCAGTTTTAGGTCATGCCCAGGACCAGGAGCCCCCTGACCATCCCCTACAGCTCCCCACCCTTACTAGCAGCCCTCTGACCAGGTCTCCAACAGCAGAACTGCCCTGTTTATATGGGTAGCCCCACATCCAAAATGGCTGCCCTCATCAGGCACCTGGTGGCTGCCAGCTCCAGGCCCTTAAAGTGGCAGGCACATCCAGTGCCCTCCCACATGTATGATCTCAGAGGAAAATAAGACAGGAGAGCTTGTAAACAAAGTATAAGACAAGAGGTAGTTGGGGTGTAGCAGAAAGCCCCCTTTTCCTCTTGCCTGCATTTGCTCTCCCTTCTTTGGATATGTTTCTCTTTTTCTACCTTTTCTTCCTTCCTCTTTCTTTCACTTTAAGATAAGGAATTGTGTTTTAAAATTTGTATGTGTGCATTTTGTGTCTCCCCTTGTAGTTTGGTATTTTTATCTATTTGTGTGCCATGGCATTTGTAGCTTATTTTATACTCCTCACCTTTCAACTTTCAACTAAATGTGTTTTAGTAAGTTATACATTGTAACAATGTTAACAAGGGCAGGAATCAAACTGTCCTTCTCTGTATCAGGCTGGCCTGTGAAAGAGTGAGTGAATCATGATTGAATGTGTAACATGGAAGCAGGCAGCAATTATCACCTGGAAGCTGCAGATCAACCAAGGGAAGAATTCAATAGAAGACAATGTAACAACCGGGAAATCTCTAAATGTCACTGATCAAGGGCTAGAAGCTCTGGCATGAGTTAATCAACGCCAGAGACCAACTTTTGGGCTGAATGTCTCCAGATTGACCACTCCCAGAGCCCTATTCTAAATTCATCAACGGACTCCCAAACCTGCACGTACATGAGGCCGACCCCTGGGGCTGACAGGTGCTGTCCAGTAGCCACCGAGGAGGGGGGAAGTCCCACGAGGGTCAGTGACCCCTGGATTGGGCAAACCAGAAAACTGGGGAGTCACCAAAGTCTGCCAGGGACAGATAAAAGGCAGTGAAAAGTGACCCTCAGTGGCGCCCTCTTGATCTAGATCTCCAACTCGACCAGACCTGTCCAGCCAGAAGGACCAGCTGGCGACCCCCTTCTGGAGGATAACACCACGCTGAAAGAAGCCTCGACTGGCCATCGACGGCAGACTCCAGCGCTTGTAGGATAGGTATACCTGACTCTGTAGCCTGCTACTGTGTGTGTGTGTATGTGTGTGCATGTATGTGTGTGTGTGGGGACCAGCCCCAAAGGTTTATGATTATAGTGTTTCAATCTGCCTAATAAACTAGAATTTTAAGGATCCCGAGTTGGACATTTGTAGCCAACGGGAGGGGGGCTGAAAAGGAAATACAAGGAAATAGACATATTATTTCTTGTCTTGACAGATGGTGGGTATAGCACATCTCTTGCCAAGTGTTCATAGGTATCACAACAGCAAAGGGAAGTTATAGAACGGACTTAAAGAAGCAAACCAAAATAGATTTATTTAAAATTTCTCTCAAGTAGGATAGGACACAGATGCTTTTTTGGCGGGGGGAGGAGGGGAGGGGAAACTTTTCACCGGCCTTCTTGAATATTGTTATGAGTGGAGTGTAATAAGAAGCTGTCCAGTCCTATGCAAAACTTTGGGATTTTTAACGTTTCTTTCTGGTCTTTATTGGGCTTAGACTGAGACTTTTCAGGGTGTTTTGGGGGGAAAGGAAATGGAATGAGGAGGAGAGAGACTCGCAACAGAAATGCCAATAGCCCAGTGGTAAGGGCATTCATCTCTGGTTAAACATATTAGGAATCTAACTTCAGTGTTTCACATTTCAATGGTTGGGGCACTTACCTAGAATTACTGGCTCTTCTGGGGTGATGTTTTCCCTCTGGTTGACAATCACTGTCCAAACTACAGTGCTTTGGGATCATTTAAGGGTGTCATGCAATATTAGCACTGTAAGGCCTTCAAACACTTACAAATGGTTCACAAAATAAACTCAAAGGGCGTGTCCAGACTAGTGCAATTTTGTTTCCCTGGGGATAAGTTGCAGGTGCACACCTCTTGCCGCTGCTGCTTGTATCCAGGGAATGCTTGTGTTACGCTTGCTTTGGTACATGGCAGGATACCTTGGGTGGGGTAGGGAAGGCTGGAACCAGCAACTGTGCTGGCTCCCATAGCCTTACCTGGGAGCCTGGAGGCCTACTGGCGCTGCAGCCATGGCAGGAAGCCTGGCAGGCAGCCAGTATTTGGCTCTGGCCTCTGGTTTGGGGCAACATGCACTGCTGTCACATGTGCCACCCTGTTGTTTCTTTCAACATGGGGTTTTTTTGACCCTGGGAGATCCCATGGTCAACCCTCCCCCCCACACCCCACGCTGCAAGGTAGAAGTGCGGGGAATGTCTGCATGTGCAGTGCGCAGCACCATATTCCACATGTCTGCGCTTGTCTGGATGTGGCCAGAGATTTCAAGTGAAAAACCAGTGTCAAAAACAGTCTGACGTGCTGAGGTCTTTCTGAGTTTTTTGCAACAGAATAACCGCTATAGTTTTCTGTAGCCAAAAAATGAGTGAAAGCTAAGAGCATTTTTGAGGGGTGCCTTGGGTCCAGTGGTGCCAGTGTCCTGCTTCAAAGAAGCAGGACGCTGAGTCTGAGGGGTAACTTGAGTCCGAGAAGGTTGAGAATCACTAGAGTAGAAATTTAGGTATGGAGCTAAGGACGAGTTCCTAATCAATCTGTCAGAATGGATGTGTTCCTATGAGCTTTTGGATGTGATTAATCAAAATGTTTTTCTTCAGAAAATGCTGTTGGAAATTTTTCTCACTAGCTCTAGTGATGTGCGAATTGGATTCAAGGCTAGACCACGTGATAACAAATGAGAAATGATGGGGAGAGGAAGCAGATGTAAAGGATCTTGAAAGTGAAGGCACAAGCATCTTGCAGAATTTGATCTATTCATCAGCCTTCACTGTAGCACCCTTTCAGGATCTAGTCAGGGCTGATATTTAGGCCTGATTGTGAAACGTGTAGAGTATTCCCCAGTGGCATTTGAGGGATTCAGTGCATTTCCATGAGATACTGGTGGGAGGATGAAGAGAATTTACTCTACTGCTCTGTGGTCACATGGCTAACTCAAAGTTTTAAGAGAGATCAGGTGCTTTTCACTTGTGTGCAAACAGCAAATCATAAATGGATTCTCCATTTGCTTCGCTACAAATATTTGTTTCTGGATGGGGGCAAATATGGGAAGTAGCGATCTCTTTCTGATTATATAATCTTTTTTTTTCTATAGCTAGCTGGAGTTGCCTTCCTTGCAGCCGGGCTTTGGGCATGGAGTGAAAAGGTAAGTGTGTGATGGGGGTGTTGCATTATCTACAAGCTAAAAACAGTGCTGGGTTGGTTTTCCCTCTCCTTAAGAAATAATACAAATTTTAAATCTGATCTAACTTAATTCTAAGTTTTAATAAAAGGATCTTGGTTTTGCCGTGCCCATATAACTGGCATGATTTTCTAATATTTCCCTAGTTTAACATTCTCTCCATCCTTTTCAAAGGCATTGCTTTTGGTTCTGTCCCTTGTCTTTGCAGGGCTAGGTGAATAATCCAGCAATGCTACTTCTCATTTAAATAACAATGTTTGATGTTTAAGGATGCAAGGTGACGACTAGCTTACTCTCATATTTCTCTTTGCTGGCTTGGAGAAAAGCTCAAGGCCTGCGAGTTGATCTGAGATTGAGATGCTGTGGAATTAATGTATTTGTACTTTCAGTTTTATAAAAGAGAGAACCAAAGGCAATTTAAACTTTTGAGTTTCAGTATTAGAAACTAGTCTGGAGATACAAAGTAGCTGTGGGATTATCTAGTCAGGCAAGTTTTAGCTAATCAGGTTTTAAATGTGCCAAGAGATTCAACATCCCCTACTTTTTACTTGAGGTGCTCTTCCAAAGGACAACCTTATAGTCTTAAATATTTTCCTCTCCCTGTTTTCTCTCAATTACTGTAAGATTGTTAGATAACCCACAGATCTTGTTTCTATTTTACTGTATGCTGCTGAGGAATTGCTAAGTAAACTGGAGACCAGGGCCTAGAATTAGCAAAATTAAGAAACAGTATTTTGAGGAGGAAGAGAACCTATTTTGCCAGCAATGCAAGTGCAGTTAGCTTTCAGAGGGTAAGACAAAAGCTTTTTTGTTTTAATTAGCTAAAACATGTTAAATATGCTTAAGAGCTTTTTGTTAATCCCTCTTTCTTATTTGCCCAAGGCCTTCTGTATACAATAGGCTTCAGTGGCATTTTCTACTCTATCGCCTTATTTAAGTTTTTCATTAATTTGTTAACACCCTTTGTAAACAACTATTCTGCTCTACAGGCTCATTTCAAATAGAGAGACATGGAATACAGCATTACATATTGACTTTATTAATTCATCTACACTGTTCAGGGACTAGAAGATGCCATGTTCAGGAAAGGATCTATTTTCCTTTCATTGTTTTGGAAAATGGAGAACATGTATACTAATTTATTAGAATGGACAAGATTTTGTATTAAGCAATAAAATAGTCAGCCTGGCTTTCAGCATAATAGAAAGCTACTTCCTACTATTTATTATTATATGAAAATTGTAAAAATAAGCAGTTAGGAAAACTTCCTTAGCTAAAATAATTTTTTCCCTCACTACTGCTAGCTTTTTAAAAATGTAATAATACTATTCTCTTTGTAAAACACGAAAGTTCCTTCTCTTCTTTTTTTCCTCCTTTTATATTTAATTAAGCTCCTCTGGGGATATCCACAGTTTAAAAGGACTTCACAGAATTTGCAATGGGAGAAAAAGTGAATTTACAACTTGCCTCTGCTAGATGATTTTTATAGTATGCTGGATTTGCTTAAGGAGGGTAAACTTTGCTAAATTTATTCTCATATTATCATCTGGGAGTTGTTTTTTTTCTGTTATGTAACTGAAAGGTATTATGTGAGGCATTTCTATGGTGTCCTCTGCCCCCTTGTTAGGGAATATCAGTAGCATGAGCTATTGTGAAAATAACCAACTAGTATTAAAAACTAAAGCTAGCTTCCTTAATTGGTGGAGGGAATCTTTCAAATCTGCCCTGTCTTTTATATGGAGATAGAATTCTCAATGGATAGTAGACATTGCCTTTAAATTCTGTAAGCTCTCTTGTTGTCATGTACTAGGCTACTGATACTCAACCAGGGTGCTGTGAAATTCTAAGGGTGTTGCCAGGTTGTATGCAATAATATTAGGTGTGCTAACACTCCAACAATTCATAAAATAAACCCAGAGATTTCAAATAGGAATACACAGTTGTGGTCTTTTTGAGTTCTTTGCAATTGAAAAATTGCTCTATTATTTTTCTGTAGTAAAAAAACCAAGTGAAACAAGCTGACGTTTTCTCAGGGTTGCCTGCAGTCTAAGAAGAGTGATTGATTGTCCTAAGGAGATGAATTAATAGGAAGCTTATCAGAGTTAAGTAGAAATGGAAGGAGATTTTGACTAGTCAAGGATACTTTCTGAACCCTAAGCTAATGTAAACAATCTGTCTTATCCAAGCATGTTGGAGTTCTCCATAATTTTGAATTTTTTATGTTCCCCTTTCCAATCAGAATTAATTCATCTTGACTCCTCAGCAGGGATTTCTGTTAACCGAATTAATTCCTGTCTGCTCTGTCTGGGATAATACTCTCCTTTTGTTGAAAATGAATAGTCTGTACGTGGAGGCTTGTGTGTTGCCCAGAAATACTACCAATATATTGCATTCTCTCTGTTTGCAGAGGGACTGAATTTGGTACTCACTGGGCGTGTCCACATGTGCGCCCGACTGCACAGTTGTAACTGCTGGTACTGCACAGTCCCAGTGCCACACGGATCGTTTCTCACCCTACTGTGTGGTAGCTCATTGCTGCTGTGCGGTAACAGCGGCATCACAGTTTGTGTCTGCCAGTGCTACATTGCCGTAGTTCATCGCTATGGTGATGTAGTGTCTCATGTAGACCTGCCCACTGGCTTCATCTACATGTGCTATTAAGGCAAAGCAAGAATCTCTGGCACTTATTGCTTCTGGGTGCTGTGTTTACACGTGTGCCCAGGACTGCAGCATGCTGAGCTGGGTCAGAGCAGCCCTGGCTGGTGGGAGGTCTGAGGTGTCAATCTGCGAGCCTGGGACTGCTCTGACCTATCTCAGTGTGCTGTGGAGAGGCTGACCAGGGCACAAGGGTGCTGTAGTGTAGGGCTAGCTCCTGAGTCCCATATATTAGCCTCGCCACACTTAAAAATGGCAGTGGGGGCGTTGAATGTGCTTTAGTTCAAGTGCTGCTGCTGCCATTTTTAAGCGTGGGGAAGCTGATACATGAGACATGGTGGCGCTTTAAAGTGGCTTTCAGAGCTCCTCCCACGTCTGGAGCATATGTAAACGTGCCCTTAGATTGTAAGGTCTAGAGAACTGTCCTCTCTTGCAAATTTGTATTGGAATAAATAAAATTATCCCTCAGAATTGTGATAGTGCCCTGGAAACTCAAGCATAAAACAAAAAATAACTTCTTTATAAAACACAGTGCCATAAAACCAGCACATCAAGTACTTGTAGGATACAAGTGAGGTTTATTGGTATGTTAGAATACAAAATGTGATCTCTGTATAAGGATGAAATTAAAGAGGAGCCCAAGGTGACCAATTTTTAAATACAGAAATAGAACAGGGGAGCATCTAAGGAAGGTTTAAAAAAAGAGTAGAATTATGTCTTATTATGCGATTAAGAGGCAGGTGCTAAAGAGAGAAGAGTAAAATAAGAAAGAGCTTTATCTCTGTGGCTATCACCTTTGCAAGAGCCTGTAGGTTTCAGACAAGTTATCAGTAATACAAATGCAAGCAGCATTCTAATTAGGAAAAGATCTAAGCCTCTCTCTCCATAATGGAAAGAAGGGGGATAGAGATCAACTTAAGAGCCCCATTTACAAACCACTACCAGCAAACAGACCATGAAATGAAGATGTGTGGTTCTCTCATCCTAACTAAATCCAATAGTAAAAAAGAAGACACCAGAGAGAATGCAGAAATATAAATTCAGAGCAGCATCCTACTTCTGTCAAAGAACCGTATGTTGCCACCTTGCTATTCTGGCCCACATCTGTGCTGGAATAGATATAAAAATACACATTACAAAAGAATGGCAAGGGGGAATCTATGCTGTCCATTAATAAGCAATAATGCTACCTTAGGGACACACTGCAGTTAAGAGCAGCTGCAGCTGTGTAGAGGAAAGCACACTGAAGTAAAAGCACTTTCAATGACATAAGAATGATTAAGCCTTTCTCCTCTTACTATGTTGGCAGCAATGTGCGAACATAAATTTATTTTAGCTATACTTTTCCAAAGTACAATAAAGTAATGAACAATTATAATCTATAGTCCACAGTGAACCACTCTTTCAGGCATTCTCCATAAAGGATTGTCAAGAATGTATAGATTTCTGAGGGTTAGGAAAATATAATAAACTGTTCTTTCTAGATGATGCAGAGGCCCCTGGCTTGTTTAATCAGTGATGTGTTTTCTGTAACTGCTATACCTAAAAGCTACATTTATCTCTTGTATCACCCTTGTAAGCAATAGCCCAGCAAACAAAACGCAGATTCATCAGAACCCACATATGGGGAAGAGCACCGAGACTTTGTGAAAAGGGGTGCGTCTACATAACCACAGAGCTGTGGAAACCATCAGGGGAACAAAGTGTTATCACACTAACAAAGCTTTCACAATTGTTTCCAGTCATCTCTTCTTCACTCTGACCTCATGTTTTTCCAGTTTCATCTGCTTCAGTAGATCTGCCTGGAAAGGTTTTCACATAAACAAAAGTTGTTTCAGGGAAAAAGCAAGTAGTAGTTGGGCTCTGGTACTCATTTCCATTATAGCTGGTTTCCACCATTTGTAACTAATAAAAGGTAGGGGAGGAGGTAAAAGGAGGGGGTGTACTTTTGCATGCCAAAGATACCTTAAAACTAATACCGCACACACTGAAAAGGAAGGATATGAAAGAAGAGATAGGAGAGATGAGCAGAATACCTCTTTTCTATGTTATTGTTTCTGTTTGTGCAGTGCACCATGTTAGGACTATACTGTGGCTTTATGACACTTCTCTCACCCCCCTTCAGGCTATAAGTTCATGTAGACAGGGCTAAAGACTAAGCATTAGAATGGCCCCTGTTCAAATGAATTTATGGAGTTGGTTGCATCTTCAGCTATCCTGTTTCTGTTCCACATGCCTCAAGCAGCAGCTTTCCTGACTTTACTCCTTATCACCAGCAACGAACTGTTATTGCCACCTCATTCATTTTAATGGGCTTTTACATATTGGAAATGGAGCTTGACAGAGACTCATTAATGTAACACAGTGAGTCTGGGGTAGTTTTAAAATGAAAAACAACCTGTATGGTTTGCACAGTGCTCTTTTGGAAATGGGATTAGATACTATTCTGGTAATCATAATGGATCATGAGAACTAATGTTTATAGAGCTCTTTGAATATGCCAGATACTATGTGTACAGCAACTGTATTATTTATATGTTTTCCACCAATTTTATCTTAGTATATCCCAGTAGCCTTCCAGTAACTGTGGAAAATACTGGACCTCCATTAAGAGATATCATATTGTAACAGACTTTAAACGACTTGTCCAAGGTGATGGAAAAGCATCTAGAAGCCAGACAAGTCCCAATTTGTTCCTGAAGTACTATGAAGAGAAATGTCCCCCTTCTTCAGTTTTTTGTTTTTTTTTTTGGGGGGGGTGGGGGGCTGTGTTTTGTTTTATGTGTTTGCAGGGAGGATGGGAATGCATGGGGATGGGGACACTGTCATTGCAGCCACAGTGTGGATAAAGGAAAGAGGGGGCATGCCTACATTCACTGCATGGAGCAGACTAATTAGCTCCACAGTAAACGTCCTGGATCTACACATACGGCCCTATTAAGCCACAGGAAACTAATTACCTCTGCAGCGCAGTAATACTTGTAAATTACAAGCAGAGTAATTTACATCGCAGCACCACCTGTGTAGATGCTGATGCAGCTGGCTGGGGCACAAGGGTGCTTCAGTGTGGGGGCTGCCTGCAGTTGCCACGCTCCAGCAGATTCGATTAATCAAGTCTGCTCCGATGTGTTGGAATTCTGATGAGCTGGATTAAGGCAAACAAGGTAAACTAGACAAGATTATTATAAAGATGGAGGTTTAAAAAAGCAATGAAAAGCCAAAACAATATTGTATTTGGTGTTTCCTTACCCATTTCCTTACCCATTTCCAAATGGGTAAGGAATAGTTATGTAGTCATAAGGACTCCAGTTATTAATTTGTCCTTAAATGTTCCTTGTAACACTGAATGTGTTTTATACTGTGAATTCCCTCTGACTTAAGCAGATTGTATGAGGAGATGCATCTCAAGCCATGTTGGTCTCAAAAGGGACCTAATTAAAGGATACAGCAAAATGCCACAAAGAAAAAAAACACCTACCTCCCATCCTCCTCCCCTTTCCTAGGGTTACCATACATCCGGGTTTTCCTGGACATGTCCTCTTTTTGAGCCCTCTGATATCCATCTGGGCAGGTTTTTTTTAAATCTGACCAAATGTCTGGGATTTTGCTTTGCTCTGCTGGTGGTTGCATGGGGGTGGCAATCGGAAGCAGCAGAGAGCGCAGACGTACCTGCCTGCAGCTGCAGAGGTATGTGCAGACCCATGTGGTGCTCCCTGCTGCCTCTGCTCACCCTCCCCCGCTCTCGCTCCCAGAGCAAAGCAAAAGCCCAGACACTTGGTCAAGGCAGGGGGGCAGGGGCTGGGGCTGCAACAGGGCAGGCAGGGTAGGGGGTTACCTGCCCCTCCAGCAGGGAAAAGGGGCAGGGAACCTTTGAGGGCAGCAGGGAACTCTGGCTAGGCCGGTAGCACAGGGGCTGGTGCCTGTTCTCACAAGGGGTGAGTGGCTGCTGAGGGGAGGGGAAGGGGAGAAGGAGGGGGCCATTGCCAGGGTGGGGGTGCCACAAGCCTCCCCTCCTCTTCTCTCCAGCCCATGCCAGGGCCAGATGCACTCTGCTGCTGCCTGCATGAATCAGAGCCACTGTGCTCTGGCCCTGTCAGGACAGGGACAGCTGAGGCCCCTCCGGCAGGGCTGGGGGGTAGGGGGCTGTAGGTCAGGGGTGAGGGGCACCAGCAGGGATGGGGGTGGGGAGTTGCAGAGCGGGAGTGAGGGCACCAGTGCGGGGGAGGGGGCAGGAGCTGCGGGTTAGAAGTGAGGGGCACCATCATAGCACAGGGTGGCAGGGTACTGCAGTTTGTGAGTGAGGGGCACTGGCAGGACGGGGGACAGTGGGATGGGAGTGAGGGGCAGCAGTAGAGCTGGGGGGGGTCTGCGGCTTGGCAGTGAGGGGCAACAACAGGGGTGGGGCACCGGCATGTCACTGCCCCCCCACACCGTCATATTCCGCTCCCCGGCATGCGTGACAGGTGGCTTCTTTTTTTGGACCTGGAAATATGGTAACCCTACCTTTTCCCCTCCTCAGAAGAGTCCCCCACAGTTCCATCATGACCAGTTGGTTACTTTGTCCCTGTCGACATTGCTAGGGGACTCTAAGGTGGGGAAGGATGGATAACTTCTTTAAAAACACTTAAATCCCCTGTATTCTCTACCATGCTTTTCATTCAAATTGTCCTTTGTACCTCTCACTAGTTCAGATTCACTAGCTTAAAGATAGGTGAATCTTCTGTGATAGTATTAGGCTTTTAGCACCATCTTGTGGAAGCCTGTTGGTTGAAGATCTATGAAAATTAACTCTCCTTCAGAGTCAGGGGTCCTGCAGTTTTTCGTTCTAGAATTAATTTTCGTACTGCAGCCCTATTCAACCAACTTATTCTGCTAGATAAAGAAATTGTGTATGTACTCAAAACAACAGTTAATAATATTTTTGTTCCAAATCGTCTGTATGTCAGAATGCCACTTGTATTTTCCCTAGTGTTCTCATATGCCCTCTGCTGAAAACCCTGCTCACCTCTAGTATAAGATAATGACACAACAAACAGGAATTTTTTTTTCTATTACTGAGATGCTTCATGTCCTTATGTTCACCTTTTTCCCTTTTTTGCAATTGTTCTGTCTTTAGGGTGTACTGTCTGATATAACAAAGGTAACCCGTCTCCACGGCTTTGATCCAGTGGTGCTTGTCTTGATTGTTGGAGTAGTGATGTTCACCCTGGGATTTGCTGGCTGTGTAGGAGCACTGAGAGAGAACATCTGTCTTCTGAAGTTTGTAAGTAACTTAAAGGTGGTGCGAGGTGAGTCAGTGTTCAGGGAAAGAAGGGATGACTTGCAAAACTGCTAGGCAAAAACAGAAGTTGAATTGAGCCTAGGTGTATGTGGTAAATGTTTCCACTAACCTGACTAGAGAGCAATATTCAGAACAGTAGTACACATGCACATTTTTTTTCTTTCTCTGTGAAATGTTCCTAATGCTGTTTAGGTCCTTGTGACGATACTTTCCAAAATAAATTGATACTAGAAGCCTCACTGCAGCTCATTGTATGTCTAATTAATGGTTTTGCTGTGGGGGAACCCTGCCCCCACCCCTGGTCAACCAGCCAACTCCCTGCTTCTCAACTGGCCACCGGGGGTACATGAACCAAAAAAGGTTGAAAACCCCCGTCTTAAGTGAACTGGGAAAACACGAAGAGCGATATGCAAAAGAAAAAAAACCAGACTTCCCTTAAGTTAATTTTTGTCTAGAGGCTTAGTGGGAAGAACTGCTGGACTCCACAACAGAAAACTGATACATTACTTAGTTTTCATTTTAATGTTTGGGGTTCCCTTTTTATTGCTGTAGGAGTTAACAGCTAATTTGGAAGGAGAGGCTTGGAAAAATAATTGTCTGTTACATTACAGTAAATTAGGAGAAGCAGTGAGTCATGTTAGTCTGAAGTCAGGGAAAAGGTAGGGCAGGATGGAAGTTGGTTCAGAGGCCTGAGCTCTCATAGATCACAACCGATTGTGATTAGATGCTAGCAAGTAAACTAGGATGTAATGCATATGTTTGCTGTCGACTTGAGACAACCAAACAAAGATAGCTTCAACATGAGTATGTCTTTTCATGCTGTTTTTAATTACATTTTCTCAAATTATTATTTCAGTCACATCTGTACTCTATGAACACTTTACCTGTAGTTCTTGTGCCTGCTCTGTAGTTGAGTCAGGACCTAGTCATGTTCAAAATTGGTGGATATCCTTGTAAATTGTCCTGTTGCTCTGTTTTGCAGTTCTGTGGAACAATTGTGTTCATCTTTCTGTTGGAGCTGACTGTGGCAGTACTAGCTTTCTTGTTCCAGGACTGGGTGAGGGAGAAGTTCAAAGAATTCTTTGAGATCAACATTATATCGTACAGGGATGATATTGACCTTCAGAACCTCATTGATTCACTGCAGAAAATTGTAAGTCATCATCTCTTTAATTTGATTTATTTCTCTTTAGTGCCTCAAGAAGAAGCATTCTCTTTGAGGATTCCCAACGACAGGGTTAGCATTTCCTTTACGAGGTCCGTATCTGTATGGGTTTTATAAGTTCTGCCTTTCCCACCGGGTAATCATGCTGCATTAGAAACTGTGAGGGTTTGTCTCACTGGTTGTAGCAGCTATGGCTTCAGGTGTGTCAGGTGCCAGGACTTCAGATGACACATTTTGAAGCAAGAGAAGTCTGTCAGAGGCCTTGGTAGTCTTGCCTGTTTCTGTCCTACTTTGAGCCGCCTTCTTGCTAGGTTTTACATATTGGTGTCAAGAGCAGTGGTCCGTTAGGAAAAAGAAGAGAGCTTTGAATGTGCTGAAAGAATTTTGCATCTAAATAAGGTACATGGTTGTTGACTAATATGAATGCTGTGTGTTTGGCAGTTTTTCCTGATACACATAGATTCTAGGGTCAGAAGGGACCTCAATAGATCATCGAGTCTGACCCCCTGCATAGGCAGGAAAGAGCGCTGGGTCTAGATGACCCCAGCTAGATGCCTATCTAACCTCCTCTTGAACACCCCCAGGGTAGGGGAGAGCACCACCTCCCTTGGGAGCCCGTTCCAGACCTTGGCCACTCGAACTGTGAAGAAGTTCTTCCTAATGTCCAATCTAAATCTGCTCTCTGCTCGCTTGTGGCCATTATTTCTTGTAACCCCCAGGTGGCGCCTTGGTGAATAAATACTCACCAATTCCCTTCTGTGCCCCCGTGATGAACTTATAGGCAGCCACAAGGTCGCCTCTCAACCTTCTCT